TCCCTCTTTTACTAAAAAAGCCTCGTGGGAATTTGCATAAATTAGATAGTTCGTTAATTTTGGCGGCCGCAAAACAGGTCCGTTGGTAGCGTTTTAGAGTCAAATGAGCAAAAAAAAAAAAACCCTCAGCCCCACCAAAATTACTTTGAATATTATGAAAAACCTCTCACAAACACGCAAACTCTGTGTCGGAAGATTCCGGGCGAATAAGCTTTGCTTGCAGTTATCCCTATGATAATAATGAAGGCAGTAATTATCTCACTGCGTTCCAAAAACGTGGAATTCTATAACCGCCGCAGTATGAATACCCTGTTCAACTGTTGATTTCCCTCTGCTTATCTTTCCCTTAGATCCCTTACAAGATCAGCCCAAATTAACAATAAGCCAGCTGATCTGATTTGCCAAAAAAAAAAAAAAAAAAAGTGATGGACATAATCTATTTATTTCCAACAGTCAATTCAACTATCCACTTTGAGCGCCAACTTGCCAAAAAACGCCATAATGATCAGTGCTTCGCCTAATCCAGATAATTCTCCAACCACCGCCTTAACGTAGATATCTATTGTTTATCAAGGTCGTTTTTTAACTTCCGTGGACCTCTTTTTCCTGTTGGCCGAAAAAAAAAGAAAGAATATTCTTCTGGGCCGCTGGCCGAATCCTGAGTTTCTCAATAACAGAAAACAAACCCGATAGGAATGAGAGTGAGGGATCAACGGAATAAGAGCGAGTCCACCATATCCTCAAAGCTTAACACCAAGTAAGCGTATATTTATATACATCATCCATTAGCTACAATCATGACCCGTTCACTCTATTCGGATGGGACATGTAGATATTTATTACTTATGAAGGGGAGACTTTGGGGTCCTGTAGCCACAAGACCCCGCTGAAAGGGAGGGAATCAAAAGGGTGTTGGTGGTAAGTTCAAAATAAAAAATAATCTGGCCGCTATCGGCTCCCTGCTGCTCCCCCTAAATTTGTGTTATTCCCAAAATTCATAAAATAGGAAGGCGTCATAAAGAGGTGTATTCCTTTTACCAGGATGTATATTCATTAAGTTGGCTAGCTCTCCCGCGATCATTCTCTTCACAAGGTCCTACTAAAATAATAATAATAATAATAATTGATTCTTGGACGAAATCTTTTTGGCTTCATTCAAAGATTTCTAACGATATACGATTTCTGGCCTCACAGCGGCTTTCTTCTTTTAAAATATGCGTCTAATAAGCAGTTCTACTTCTTTTTTTTTTTTTTTTTTTTTTTTTTTTTTTTTACAAGATCAGAAATAACGCATTTATCTTTTGATTTTTAAAACGGATTCAAACAACTTCTCCTTTTTTCCTTCCACCCGCAAACATACCTTTCCCTCTTTGCTAAGTGGATGATAATATTCCCCTAGAAATTTTTTAGGGTCACACATCTTGCAAAGACTAATACAAAAAAGAAATAATAACAAACAAAATACCGCTATGATATATTGTTCCTAATGACAGAAATAAAAACAAAGCCAAGGTGGGGCTGGTAAGTACCAGTGATATTACCAATACTATTACAACTACTAAAAAGTAACTTGTTCCTGTAGTAATATATACCACAAATATATAATTAAAAAAAAAAAAAGCACGACCCATTACCTAGAGCAAAATTTATAATCCGTTAATTTCTTTGCATTTCAAAAGAATAATATATATATATAATGAAAATCATTATCGTACAAGAGTCCCACTTATAATTTTTCAAAGAAATTTAAAGAAATAAATGACCGAATCGGATTTTGGGGTTGTGCTGTCAAGTAATTTTGTGCTTTTACCTCTGCAGGTTTTTTTTTAAAAAAGCAGCAAAAAAAAAAAAAAAAAAAAAAAAAAAAAAAAAAAAAAAAAGAAAGGGAATTTAATAAACAACAAGCAAACATTTCACAATTATGGTCACATAATTTGTACACAAAATTAGAAAAGACCTACAAATAGATAGAGCAAATGGAATAAAATAAACGACTTCGGTTTCGTATAATGAGGCAAAAAAGCAAAAGAAGAAAAAATGAAAAAGTATCGCAAGATCGCCAGCAAATTAACTCTCCATAAATGTTTGCAGTCATCTTCTTTTTTCCTTCAAAAGTTCACTCCTCGAAAAATACTATCGCACAATCATCATTCAGTCAATACATGGCCGACCTTCCATTTACAGTACATTATTATTATTCAATGCACATGGCTCTTAGTTAAATATGAGTCAAGAGAAATATCTTAAAATAAGAAGAGTTTTTTCCTTAAATGAAACGATAAAATGCACAATATATATGTAATATAAATGTATATTATGAGGCAAATAGTGCACTTCTTTAATAATAATAATTACCAATATGCGGAAGATGATGCTTTTCCGAATAATCACAAAATTGTTATTCTCATTATTATTGTTGCTATCATTGTCGCCAAGGCTGCTGGCCAGAGAAAAAAATTTCCCATATAAAATAAAAATAAAAATAAATAAAAGACAAATCGCCAGACGTCGGGCTCACCATATCGTCTTCGTTTGCGTCAACGGCGTGTATATATTCAGATAGCTACTATCGTGAGATGCAACACCCCATTTGGATTGGAGATATATATATATATATCACTAGGTGACGGTTCAAGACCCTTCGATCCACAAGACGCTGCCGCGAGGATGAACGGCAAAAATAAAAACAGGGAAAACATTCTCCCTGCTCTTGTCGGCTCCTTCGCTCTTTCCGTCGGGTGTCTAATAAAAATTAATAAGAAGAAATCACTTAACAATACCGTCGCGCAACCCGAATCTGCCATCAATCGGGGCGAGCGGATATCTCGCAAATCATCGAAAACAGTTTTTGATGCGCGTCCGCGGCTTCCAAGAAAAAGACGTAATTTTTTCCCTCCTTTAGGTGTAGGGGCTCCGGTGCGTCCTCCCTGGCGCAGTCGGCAGCGCGTTAGGCTGTTAACCTACAGGTCGTTGGTTCGAATCCAACGGGAGGAGTTTTTTCGTCGCTTCGAACAAAAAATGTTTAGTGTAAAAAACGTGGACGAGTAGGGGTTTGAACCCTAGGCCTCCTGTATGCAAAACAGGCGCTCTACCACTGAGCTACACGCCCCGTGGCGAAGGGGAAAAATTGGTCAGGCTGATAGACAAAACTTCCTCATGTCTATCGTTTTAGCTCAGATTTTTGCGACGGCGAAGGCGCTCCAGTGGCCTAATGGATAAGGCTTTGGACTTCTAATCCAAGGATTGCGGGTTCGAGTCCCGTCTGGAGTATATATTTTTTTCCTTTGTGCAAAGGTGAAGGGAACAATCACGTTTAGAGCAGGCGGGACGGTGCCTTCCTAGCTCAGCGGTAGAGCGCACGGCTTTTAACCGTGTGGTCGTGGGTTCGATCCCCACGGATGGCGCTTTTTTTCCAACTTTCATTTTTGAGGGAAATGACGCCGGTGTGGGTTCTCGCGTGGACGCGAGGGAGCCCTCGTAGCCCAATGGATAAGGCGTTCGCTTCCTAAGCGAAAGATTGCGGGTTCGAGTCCCGCCGAGGGTAATTTTTTTTTTTTTTTTCATTCCTGCGGCGTTTATCTGCGGTTCTTGATGCGAGCATCTCTTGTGTATGCAAATTAGTCCAAACCACACTTTTTTTTTCCCGAGAGGAACACCTCGCACTTGTTGGCGCGACAAATGAACAAAGGAGGAAACAGGCATTTTATCCATAAGCGTTAATAAGCGCATCCCAAAAACGATAGACACACACACACATATTTATTTTATATATATATATTTTGGCTCCGCCATTTCTCTCGCAGCGTCACGTAAATCAAAATGACAAGGACACCAACACCACCACCAAGAACAGAAAACAAAA